AAAAAAAAAAAAAAAAAAAAAAAAAAAAAAAACATACTAAATGATAGGTAAATACCTAAGGTATACCTAAAAAAAAAGTTAATATTGATCCATATATTTTCAGAAAATTATAATAGTTAAAAAAGTAAAAAAATGTCGAAAAATTACTGATTTTTAAAGTCGTAGTTTTTTAAAGATTCCTACAATTGATGATGGAAAATGAGGGAAATTTTTTCAATTTTTGAAGGTAATGTTTTTGATTAGATATGATTTATGATCTTTTGATGTATTATTAAAAGAAATTGGTTTGGTGAAAGCTGAGAAAAAGTGGTAACAGACACACAAAAAAAAATTAATACTTTCTTAGCTTCACATTGAAACTAAATGAAAAAAAAAAAAAGTAAAATCCATACAACAGATAGTTACAAAAAAAAAATTAATTTTCCTATTATTTAGAAATAAGAAGCATTTATTCAAAAGTTATTTATACATACTTTTCCTGATCCAACAGGACCAATTATGGCAACTAATCTTCCAGGTACAACGGTCAAATTAATTTTTTCCAAAGAATTTTCAATTTGAGCATCAGTCCATTTTGCTGTAACGTTGCTTATAACAATACCTAACTCCATTGTACTAGGTTGTGTTCCATTACTTTTTCCATTTACAACAATAGGTTTTCGAGCTCCATTTGATGCTGCTTTGTTAGCTTTTGATAGATTAGCTACTTGATTATTTTTTTCTTCATACATTAGAAAATTCTAATATAAAAATTCAATTAAAAAAAAAAAAACAATATATATTGATCTATAATGTGAAAATATTATACCTGAAGGCGTTTTACTGAAATCAAAACTTCAGCTACTTGACCAATTCCTTGTGGAAAGAAGACTGTCATGGTTGTTCTTAATATATTGTAGTATGATGTTATTACAAACACCTAAAATAATACTAAATTAATAATTCATAGTTTACAATATATTTTGTTATACCATTAAGTGTAGATAGACTATCTATACTCAATGGCAATACCAATAGAATGATATAAGTAGCATGTCCTGAACAATTTTGTAACATATTATTATAAATAATTATATTTACTTTTTGAGCATCAATATAATTTCCAAGTATTACATAACTAAGTATACTGGCAAAGAGAGCTATTCTAGTATGAAATACCATAAATGAGAGGAGTATGGCTCTGATAAATGAAGCCCCTTTTATTTGTTGTACTTCCTTCCTGAAATGTTCATGGTAAATGTAGTAAAAAAATTATTTATTTAACAACTTCTAAAGCTACATAATTAATGATATGATATATACATTAATATATATCTAATATAATATAGTTAATATAATAATATATTGAATATTATTGATTGTAATATTATATAATCAATATAATTAATTGATCTATAGTATGATATACTATAAATATGTTATATGTCAATGGTATGATCAGCACATTTAACGATAACATCTTTTTAACTAATAGTAAAATAAATAATACAAGTAATTCCGGATTGAGATAAAAAGTGCAATAAATCTGACATAATGTTAAACTATTTAAGCTTCATTTTAATTAATACATAGCAACTGGAACCATTGTTTATGGTTTTTATGGTTTTGATAAAAAATTATTTTAAGGTACAAGTTTGATTCAGATATTTTTCAATTTTACAATAAAATTCTAGTTTTTAAAATAAAGGTTCTGGACTTAAAAAAAATAATTTTATAGACATTCTCAGGATATAGTCTACAGAAAGGGATATGCATAAGAAATTTTTAATTAACTCCTCCAAAATACACAATCTATTTATTTTCGTCATAGAGGGGTGTTCTATAATTCACATTTATACTTAGGGAGTTCTTAAGTAAAAATAAGAAAGAGAGCTGAGCCCTTTCAAAATTTAAGAAAAAATATTTATATCATTACTTTAAAAAATGTTAAGTGGTAAAATGAGATATAGTCTTCTAATGTTACAGTACCCACCTTATGCTTATAGGGAAGGAGATAGTCATTAAAATGAAAATAATTACAAAATTTAAGTTTTTATTTCTTGGAAATGGTAGAAAAAATTTGATAGTATAATATAAGTACAAATAAAAAACTTTTATTTAAAAAATAAAGGTTTTTTAATGTTTGTATCTTTAATGATTCTGGTTCTATCCAAGTACATTTTTCTAAAAATAAAAATTCTTTTTCGGGTTCTATTTTAAAAATCAGTTTTTTAAGGTTTTGTTCCAGTCTTTGATCAATATTGAGATAACCATTTAAATTTATTTTGGGCAAAAGTATTCCTCACATCAAATTTTCTCATCATTAATTCTTATTAGATCAGCCTTCTCTTTTAATTTACTAATCTTGTTACATTACACAACAATTACCAAACATAAATTGATACAAAAAATAAATTTATTTAATTGAATCGGTGAGTGGAAGAACAGTACTAGTCCAAAAAGTTAAATTTGAGATAATCAAGTTTAAAGTTTAAAAATTCTGTTTGCAGTAACTTATAGACTGTAAGAAGCCAGGAAATTTTATAGCTGCTTTCACAAAGCTCCTAATATAATTATTATATTATTTATATCAGTGATTCTTGAATAACTTCTTTTTGTAATTTATTTTTAAATCAAATAAAAGATGTTTAAAAATCATACATTATCCATTTTCATCATAAAAAAATATAAAAGCAGTAAATTAGTTAATATATAGTATATAATAAATAATAAATAGAGAATTTGTTTTAATTAATAAGTAATCCTTGCAAAAATGAAAGATAATTTAAAAAGTTGTATGATTACTAATAATAATACAATAGACAATAGATTTGATACAAAATTTAGAATTTAACACAGTTTATAACCTATATTAAATGTCAGATTAACTATCAGTTTTATATAGTTTATATTAATATGGTAATCAGATATGAAAAAAAAATTAAGTGAGTTTAAACGAATCAACTATTTTAACAATACTCACTTCCTTGCATATTGAACCAGGTACGCAAAAGGCTTTTCCCATGTGTACATTTTTATTACTTGTATACCACTTATAATTTCATTCATCAGGCGTACACGTTCATCTGTTCTTATGGCTGTCTTCATACGGAATTCAGATGTCTTTTTACCCAACCAACCTTAAAGAAATTTTTGAAGTCAAATATAATATTAATCTTTTCATTTTTTAAATATATAAAATTTATTTTCTTCAACATGATACCTTGTAATGGAATAAACAATAATAGTATAGCAACACCAACAACTGAAGATGGGCCAACTTCTTGCCAAAGGAAGTATAATACAAGAATAGTTTGTAGTGGTCCAATCCATAAGTAATGAATAAATATGATTGCTATGTCAAAACGATTCACGTCATTTGATAGTAAATTAACAACTTGACCAACTGTTGTTTCTCCAAGAGCAGTTTTACTTAAGCGAAGTGCCTAATATTTCAAGTAATATTTAATAATCAACAAGAAATTTATAAAATCCATTATTAAACTTAAACTGCATTTTATAAAAACAAAACAAAAAACTTTAATGCCTACTTTTTTTTAAACAATTATTGGCTAATAAGTCATGCAAAAAGCTCTTGTTCAAATTTTGGTTAATATTTTATAACTTCCATGTTAAACAAAATTTAAGCTTTAAACAAACTCATGCTTTCTTTTAATAACTTAACAGCATAATAAAAACAAATACATATAATATATGTATAGATTTTTGTCCATTCTAATGATATATGATATTATCATATACCATATATCATTATAAAAACATTTTAATATTTTTTTTTTCATTTTCATGCATTCAAAACATATAAATACCAACTGATGGTAGAAATTATAATTTTGTATAAAGCATTTATTTATACATTTATATAGTATTAATAATTAATAAATAGTACAAAGTTGACAGAAATACATAAGGAATTTTTAATCATATTTTTTAAGCTCCCAATAGCACAAAACAAAATTTTTATGACAGAAATATTAAGTTAAAACTTTTTTGAATAATATTAAGTTAAAATTGGCTTGATAAAATTAAATATTTATTTATATAAATAAAATACAAAATAGATATATTCATGTAGAACCAGTAAATTCACTCAGATTAATAGTTCATCAGTTTATTTTATAATAGTAAACAACAATAATAACATTAAAAATAATACTATATGATTAAAGATAAAGTATTTTAATTAGTATCATTTTTTAATATTGTTTATTATACTATATAAAAATTAAAATACAGTAAAAGTGGCAAATAAAAACAAACAAAAGAATAAAACAAGTCCATTGCATGGGGTTGATGAACAAAACATATTAATGATTTCTCTTAAGTTATTTTTTATTTAATTAAATTGTAAGTATTTAAGAATGCATAACAGATATTGACAAATATAACAAGCATTTTAAATAATATCTCACTTAAAAGTTCTGATATACATATTTTTGTCTTCTTATTTAAAATAATTTATTTTATTAGTTAAACTTGATAAATTAAAGTAATTTGATGATTTTATTCATAGCAAAAGTATTATATTTTGATTATTTATAAATACATTATTTTTCTATTATATATACATATATATATATAGCCATTTGAAGTATACATATTGTAGAGCAAGTATTTAAGATTTAAAAAATATAATATTTTTTTTAGGGTCGGACAAAAATAACTGAGCATAAGGCTAATAAGATTATAAACGGCTATAAATAACGCTCGGATTAACATGTGACCTTGAAATTTTATATTTTGTCTAAGCAATATACTTAAATTGAGTTTTCATAATTATTTTAATATTATGAGTACATTTTAAAATGAGTCTTATGAGCTCCTAAAAATAGCTTACAGACAACTGTGCATACTCTTCCTCTCACCTGGATATAAATATTTCAATAACTTCCAAAATACTGGTGTAAATGTTGTAATTGACCAATCATTTTATATATATGTATATATAACGGACAAATAATATATTTATAAATAATCAAAAAATAATACTTTTATTATGAATAAAATGATAAAATTACATTTTTTATATTATTCCGAAATATATATATATGTATAATTATTAACTTAATATCAATATACAATAGTTTTTATAAATAATTTAAAAATCAGCTTTTTACATTCATTTGTGTAAATGAAATACCAATTTGAAAACCTCTTCTTTCCAGTTAAATATTATAATAAATAAATTAACAATAAAAACTAAAAATGATAAATATAGTAAAATTTTCGATAACGGACATATTTTTTAGTCCCGTCAAGTGTAATTGGAAATTTACATTAATACCTCTATATAATGGGCACTCTAATTAACGGAGAGAATTAAGTTATAGATAGTTAAATTAACGGACATTGTGGAATATTTACAGCAGGTTATTATCATACTATTCAATTTATACGATAACACAATAAATGATATTTTGACCCAAAAAATATAACTATATCAGATATTTTGATGTAAATTAAACAGTCTACAGTCTACTAAAAGTAAACTTTATCTTTATAGATAATGATAAAGTGGAAACTAAGGAAGCTAAAGCAGCTTCCTTAGTTTCTTATATATAATATATCATACCATTCAGAATATATTAATCAAATAAAACAATCGGAAGTTTTCAATCTTTACAAAGGATATGTAGATGATTTTAAATTATTGGAAGCTTGCAGAAATCCATTTTGAAAAAAAATTGTTCAAATAATAAAATTATGAAAATTAATATAAATGAAGTTTTTAAATAATTTATTTAATTTTTATAAAACTTAATTTAATATTCATGTTAATTTGTCTTTATTATGTATACACTCTATATAGCGGTTATTTAACACATATAACACTTTTTTAAGGGGCATCTACAGCCATCATTAAATACCAGACATTATTTTAAGTCCCTTCTATGACTGTACACAGAAATTCTACTGTATACAATTTTTTATTTTATAATTTATTTGAGGTTTTTTTAATGTAACAGTTACTTGAGAAACAAAGTAAGTCACCATTTTTGATAAAACTGGAAATTATAAAGGATTTAATTTTTTTAGAGATAGATACGAGTTTCATAGCAACATGGCTATTAACATGGCATTTTATTCCCACGAAAAAAATTTAGTTTTTAATTTGATGTTATTAGTTTTAAGTAATAAATACGTAGGGGATTTCAGATTATGCTAAATTATTATAGGCCTTTCTTTCATAAAGTTGTCAGAAATTAATCTTTTAACTCCACCGAAACATGGATTTGAGAAACAAGAAAAATAAGAGAAACAAAAATTAAAAATATAAAAATATTTATTTATGTTTTTGAAAGAAAGTCTATGGTACGTCAAGAGACATCATAAAATTTGTCACCCCATTATTACAGAAAACTGCAGAGACTTTTCATACCTTCGCCTGTATTATTACATGTTTAATGGTCTTTTTTTGATAAGTGTAGTGAGCAAAGCGAGGACATTATTTTTAACTATGCAAATAATAGTTTTTTTTCAACTCTACACACAATTTTCATTTAAATTTCAGCCTATACGCTTTCATTCTCAATAAAAAAAGTAATTTTATGAGCGTACAGAATTTGTTTTATTTTCTATATTTTTCAAGCGTACAAAAATTCGTCTCAGAATTGTAATAATAAAACCTTGGGAAGTGTGATGTTACAGTTTAGTACCTATGGCAGTCGCCGAGACGTTTATACAACCCTTAATATCCCATACTGTGATGTGGAAAATGTCATACAGACGTTCTAATATTATGTAAACGAGGTTGCAAATGTCATAAAATATATTAATCGTCTATTATTAAATACAAAAAACTAACAAAAATAATACGGGCACAACATGATGGATGACGAATTCTATCATGTCAGCGATATGTATTATTCTATGTTCCTAAAACCTACGCCTAATACTACTGGGACACCTACCTAACTATACAAATATGGATGAATTAAAGGTTATATTAGATGTATTGTTTTTTTAACGACTGTTAAAAATAAGTTAGGAGGTAATTTTGCATAAATATCATAAAAATTATTAAACTTTATTAAATTTATAGATATTTAATTTTATAAATAATACATGAAACTACCATAAAATCATTTATTTATACTATTTTTTTCTATGAGACCTATAGGCATCTATTAGAATAACATTTTTGAGGATGCTAAATATATTTTCTGCCTACTCTAAAAAGTATTATACATGTATATGATAACCTAATTTTTTTCATTTTTTGGAGATTTAATTCCTTAAGTAAAAAGCTACACCTGTGGTGATATCTCCCAAAAAGCGCGGTTCCCCGGTTTGAGGACTCTATTAACACTTCTTCAACGCTGAGTATGTTGAGCGGACAGTGATTCAAATAAAAAAAAAAAAAAATTCTACGGACGCTTTTGTTTATAACAGTTTATTACTATAAAATACAACATAAAAATATAAAAAATCTTATAATTATTGAAAATTTCATTTTTTTTAAAGGTGTTTCTATATTTTTCTGGGAAATTTTTAAAACTAATTATGCTTTAATACTTATTGAGTGAAATAAAGTTTTATATTAATAATTATTTCCGAATTTTTTTGCTCCTATTATTATAAAGAAATGTCGCTAGAGGCAGTTTTCCTATGCCACCATTTACATACGGGCTTGGGTATTGTATAGGAAACATGTCGCTTTTCGTAGCTGTGTTCTAATATACTATAAGCCAACCGTTATGTTTTTATTTGTTTTTTCTAAAACTCAATAAAAGTGACTCAAAATGTTTCTCAAATGAATGATTCAATTGAAAAAACTGTAAAACTATAAATAATTTTATCACCTATGTATTAAATTCTTATAGGGAATATGGAACAAATTATCAAATTAAACTATCAACAAAAAAGTAAAAATTATACGTTGCCAGTTTTTTCCTGAAAAAAATTTAAATGTACGAAAATGTACCTTGTAATAAACCGATGCACAACATGCCACACGCATCTTCATCCCAGTATGAATAATCTCAATTTGAATTGAATGATATGTCATAACAGTAAAAAACATGCATACTACCAAACCAGCAGCGTAGTATAATGTAATTCTTACATCAGTGTTCCCGTAATTGTATGGTCTAAAATATGCTAACAGTCCTCCGATGAATATTGGATGAACCATTCTATATAATTTTATACACACATGAAAAACTAACTACTTTTTCTAACGTTAATTAATAACAATTTAATATTATATTTAAACGTGAAAACTGATTTTTACTTAGAATAATTGAAAATAATTAAAAATAGTAGAACACATTTGCAAAAATTAAGGAATTTACGTAGAATTGAGATATTTTTATCAATTAACTATTTATATTATTAAATAGTTTCCAGTGGAAGCCTTTCATGTATATTTTACAATATATCAGTATAATGTTGAACTTTTTATTTATCTTTTTTTTTTTTTTTTAACGATTAGTTACATGTCTTTAAATACAAAACTAGTTGATTTTTGATTAGGGTCCAATTTTTTACAGAAATCACAATTATTTTTAATGATATGATTGTAGTTCACAGATTTTAACACTGAATAACTAAAAAAATTCAAATATAATCAATTATGAAGTATTTGACAACTGAAAAATACTAAAAATCAATTCTTGGTTTCTTGAATAGTATGAATTTTTTTTTTACCAATTATTTGAAGTTATAAATAATATATCAATAAGCTACTACTCAATGGCGTATTTAGAGAGAATTACACAAATACGTGCTTTCTTTTCCCCCATTGTCAATAAAAAATCTTATTTATGCCCCTTCATTATAGATTCTTAATAGCTAATACATTATTGTCTTTTTTTAATAATCGTCTTCTGATTAGTTGATATTTACTTATTATAAAATAAAGTATGTAAAATTATTCACACTCACGAACTAAGATAAATGGACTATTAAAATGAGGAGTGCGACCAGGTTTTATCATAGAAATTTCGTAGAAGGGGAAATATTCGGCGAGCAGTGAACTCTAGCAACAAACAAATTTTTAGAATACAAAATTTAAAAAACGTAGTGGGGAATTATGAAAATACATGTAAAATAGTAGATGGCGCTGTACTTCAAAATTCTCCCTTCTACGAGAACTGTATAATAAAATCGGATCGCCAAAAAAGGCATCTTGTCCAGTCTATTTTATTTTAGTTCGTGCTCAAGCAATTTAATATCCTTAAAATAAGTTAAATTTTTACATAGTAACTACAATACATATACCACGAAAAAATAAATTGTAAAATAATTATAACCACCAACCAAAGCTGAACACAACGAGGTAGAATCCATAATATAGTTTTAAGCAAATGCAAATAAAAGTATATACTCATTAATACTAAAATAAGCTTCATAATTAAAACTAAATGATGACATCTGCATTAAAAATCAGTAATATTGTAATATATACTAAAATTATAAAGTTAGAATATTAAGTTTTATTCTATGGAAAAAAAAAAATTAATTTAAAACAAAAAATTGTCACCTTTTAATTTAAATTATAAAAAATGAAGATATAAAAGCCGCAGACCATTTATTTAAGCAACTATAAATGTGTTAATTATGATATGTAAATGGCTCAAAATAAATTATAAAATGTAAATGCTTTAATGATATTTTATTAAACTAAATATGGGGAGGAAAGGGAAGATACCTTATTATATATGAGATTACACGTAGAAACGCGCATCTTCATGCCCATATGCGTAGTAAGCATGTCGTAAGCAGTGAAACCAAAAGTCTTCAACGATGTAGTTACTACCAAACCCAATCCATATAACAATCCTAGATTTGATACATCTGATGATGATAGTGGATCGAAATGTGCAATAATACGACCCAAGAAGTGTGGTTGGCCGATGCTATGTCATAATCAAACACAAAAAATATCCTGTATTTAATTAATGAACTTAACTAATTAAAAGAAAACTACAATAACACGCATGTTACACCTTCTCGAAATATTAATTCAGTAGTAAACTCTATAGAATACTATCATAATCATTTACAATGATAACATTCCTAAACAGGAATATAACTACTATAACAAAAATGATCTCAAACACAATTTTTGTTTGTATTTTATTGAATACCATAATAGATGTCTATACAATTTAGATTTCACAATTAATAATTACGGTATTAAACAAGTTTAAATTACCATATCTCCATTAATTAATCACCAGCTACAGAAAGCTAGAAAAAAATCGAATGCCTAGCGATTGTTTCCATTAATGAGCATATCACTATACAAATTAAATAATTTTACAGAATCCTTTTCAAAGAACGAAATATAAAAGTAAATAAACGGTAACACTGAAAAAATATAGATATATTCAGAATAAATCAGGAAAAATATTATGATTCCTTTAACTTCTGGAATTATAAATAAGAAACAGTTCGATATTAATAAAACAAAAAAAAATTTGTTTTCGCATTTTTATAATCTAAGTTTTAAATGTTAAAGTAAATATCAAATTTCCTAAATAATATAAAAAAAGTTTTATTAATTATATAATGTATACTTTATTACCTTCACTAAAATTATTTTAAGTTATTATTTTTTTTTTTCAAGATATTTTATAATAGATGGCACTGATAAAAACATAAATTTAATAGTTTAACTCTATAAGAACATATCACATTATATATTCTCTATACAACATGTGTAAGTATAATGTCTCGATAAAAAATTTATTTTGAAAATAATTTTTACTATCAAATATCTACAGCATTTAAAGTACTCTACCTCTATATTTACAGTAATCTACTTGATAATGAACTAAATTATTCAAGCCATTTAATCATAACAAAAGTGCAAATCAAAATAACTTATAAACGTGAACATACATAAGGAAATAAAAATTGCATTAGCAAAGACAAATAATTGTGTGCAGTAAGTAAAAGGTTCTAAACTAAATACTGAGCTAGAGTTTTGTATAGACAAATAGATCTACCGAGTATTCTACTGGCTATTTTGGGTTTTAAAGAGGCTGTGTACCTTGAAATATATAATAGAAGTCACAGCGACACGTGCCTCAAAACCCATAATAACTTGACCAAGCATATGCTGATACATCCCGATAGTACTTAGAAGGCTAGAAATCATCAATGCAATTGCAGCAACTACAGCTATATTGAAATCATAATTTGTAGGTGAATTAAAATAACAAATCAAGTATCCAATTGAAATTGACTGAATCGACCTAAATAACGAATAGTAATAGTGACCTATAACCAAATTTTAAGTTGGTATATTTAAAAAAATTAGATCAGAAAAATAGTGAGTTTAAATTCAATTTCTTATTTTTAATCTCTTTAAAAATGTTTCGCAATAAAAAACAAAAATCGATTCAATGAAATATGGCCAAATTTTTTTCGAAAATCATAGAATATTACTATTAACTTCTGAAAAGAAAAAAATAATATCATATTGGATATTTTTAAGGATAATGCATGAGTCATGGTTGAAAAATCACCCTGATTACGTGTTTTCTACAATAATATTTCTCATAAATTTCTTATTTATTAAACGATCGATTGAATTTACCGTAAATGACATTTTCCTCATCTAGTCCTTCGAAGGACTAAATTATTTTCGTATTACTTGTAATTTTGTGGTACTAATATTTACGGTATAGCTTAATTTACAATTTAAATAGGTTATTCAAATTGAAGTATCATTTTTAATAATTATTATATAATTAATATATTATTACAATTTAAAGAGTTTCCTTAATTTTTAAAGAAAAACAAAAATTAATAAAATAGGGTTTTTAATACGTATTTAAAATCTAAAATTAAAAACTGTATGAATATCGTGTAAATCGGTTTTAAATAAAAATTTCAATTTTTGAGATTAATAGACTATGAAATATACTTACACTAAAATACTAAACATTTTCGAACAATTTGTTTACAAAAAATTATCAATAATATTTGGTTATCTATGTACAGAACAAATATTTATACATTAATTGTTCCACTTAGGTACATAAGACTTCAGTTATTATCTAAAGAAGCACTAAGAAAGCTCATAAAAACTTGAATCCTTAAATTAACACTAAACGATGATTCAGAATTATTTCTATATTTAAAAATTATAATTACAAATTAATAAATCTTAGTAGGTCAATTGGTTTGTTACATATTCGATGTGTGCATACTAAAATAATGCATGCATATAAAGATTAGCGTAGTGTATGATGGAAAAATACATTTTTTCTGTGGTTTACCTAATATAGAAATTTATGGTACATGCTTTTGATAAAGTTACTAATAATTAATATACATAAATGTTTAAAAAATCGTACTTGTTGCGTAACTAATATTTTATCCATAATTCTGAAAAGTAAATAACATACTGAATATTATCTAATTTTTTAATTAATTACTTTAATATAGATAAATTATACCGTAGAACATTTCAGAATAAAAAAAACTCAGCACAGATTGTTGGTCGTGACACAGCGGTGACGTGGCATAGTTGGGTCAAGTATAATGATATCTGACAGCGATTAAAATCACTGTCATAACAAACAAACGCTTCGATGCAAATCTTTAGATAGTGTTTAATTTTAAAAAATTAGTGGATTATTCCAAAAGCTACATGATCTGCTATTTCCTTATTTATATCCTGATTAAGATAAAGTATATCGAATGAAAGAGATATATAAATATTATTTCCCATAAAAAAATTGTGTTGATCCATACACTTTTCAATAAGTTATAGCATTATAAAGTTAAAAATATAAAATCAAGAATTTTCACACAAAAATAGCATTCGGTAGCCATTTTCACCGTGAAAACAAAATAAAGACCGAATTTTATTTTTCCATGATAAAGTATATTACATTAGCTTTAATTTAAGATATATTTAAAAATGTCAGACTTTCCGGAATACATTCAACAGTTAAGTTGAAAAAGTTGTCATTTTGAATCCCCCTTGCGGGCAGGTAAAAAGTCAGATTTTTAAAAAAAATATACCAAATTATTAGTAAAGACAATAATTTACAATAATAAAATAATATTGATTCGATCAATTTTGAAAAGATTATGGCAGTTTTAAGTAAAAATTGAAAAAATAAGGATTTTTTAATTTGTAATTTTTTTGGATATTTCCCCCATTTACGGGGAA